TGATGTTTGGCAAACTTTTTGCTGAGTTTAGCATCAAATGGCTCTTCCTCGGTATGCTGGGAGTTTTTGAGGTCGGGTCCATCCTCTGCGCCGCCGCGCCGAACTCGCCGGTCCTGATTGTCGGCCGAGCAGTCGCCGGGCTCGGAGCGGTCGGCGTCTTGACCGGAGCCCTTATCATCCTGACCCATACTGTACCGCTGCACAATCGTCCCAAAGTCACCTCGGCGATAGGCAGCTCAATTGGTATTGCACAGATCATTGCACCGACGATCGGCGGAGCCTTTGCCGACTATGTCACATGGCGCTGGTGTTTCTGGCTCAACCTCCCGCTTGGGGGAGTAACTTTCCTCGTCGTTGTCTTCTTGGTCCATCTGCCAGCCAGCGCAACGAGGTCCCGTTCTGCCAGCAGTCCCCGGACAGCCCGCCAAGTTCTCGGAAAACTCGATCTTCCAGGTACTATCTTCTTACTTCCAGCCATCATTAGTCTTCTGCTCGCCCTTCAATGGGGTGGAAGTATCTATCCCTGGAGCAATTGGAGAGTCATACTGACACTTACCATCTTTGGGGTTGCCATTCTCATCTGGGGTTTCATTCAGTATCGCAGAGGGGATGACGCCACTGTCCCGGTTCGCATCATCAAGATGCGGTCCATGGCGACTGCGGCCTGGTTTTCATTCGCCCTGTTCGGCATGCTCTTTCCTCTCATCCAATTCATTCCACTCTGGTTCCAAGCTGTCCTGGATACTTCAGCCAACCAATCGGGCGTTAATTTTCTGGCGATAACCGTTCCCTTGTCTGTTGTTGCGATCATCTCTGGCTTCATGGTGAGTTTGGTTTTTTTTTTTTTTTTTTTTTTTTTTTTCAGTTCTCACTCTCTAAACTGGGTGCTAAGTTACCCCGCATAATTGACAGACGAGTAAAATTGGATATTACGTGCCGCAAATGATCACATCCACAGTGTTTATGTCCGTTGCGGCGGGACTGATTACACGCTTCGGTGTGGACACGACCCAGGGTTACTGGTGAGACAAGACAAGCCGCCTAACGCTGGTATAAAATGTGGTTTAACCCTTTCTTCACAATAGGATCGGTTCGCTTGTGCTTCTGGGCATTGGCGCTGGCATCGGCGGACAGCAATCCTTGATGGTTCCGCAAACAGTCCTGTTCGGGGGCGACATCGCGATCGGAACGTCGCTGGTCATCTTTGCGCAGACTCTCAGCGGAACCGTGTGGCTGTCAGTCGCAAACAATGTCTTCCAAGACCATCTGGTTCACGAGCTGGCGATTCGGGCTCCCGCAGCTGATCCGCAAGTCGTCCTTTCGACTGGCGGGAGCGCAGTTGCCGAATCGATACGCAAGATCTATCCAGAGCTTGTGGATCAGATCGTTGCTTCCTACTCTGATGCCTTGAAGCAGGTCTGGCTCATCTCCGTTGTTCTTGCGTGTCTGAGTGTGTTTGGTTCCGTGTTGCAGGAGTGGGTCAGTGTTAAGAAGGACAAGGAGAAGGACGCCAAAAGGGGCACTGGGAGTCCGAGCAGTACCACCCCGGAGGCGTAGATGTACCATGAGAAGGGCTTTACGAAGCTAGCTGTGCAGCTACCTATTGTAGGATACCGGGTTTTCCCACTGCATAGTCGGCACACGGGGCTAATTAGCTACTCGACTACCCAGTAGCTGTGGCTTAGGACTGTGCAGTTGGCTTGGGTGTCGGGAGCCCAACTCTTTGAGGGTTGACCTTGCTGGACATGGCGTTCGCCATGAAACCTAACTTACAGACAATTCCTTTTCCTTGTCTCCAAAGTAAATAGATAGAATGGGTTGATGAAATTTCTTTCAGTATAGAACTCACATCCAATGGTTTCAGTTTACTCTTTCAGAGCCGTGCTACCCGGTTGAGAGCCGCCAGAGATGCTATCACCACCCGCCACCTCAACTGTGCAACTTGGAGGAAAGAGGTAATTAACAACGTTTGCCATGCGTATACGTGCTTTGGCATGGCCGTTCTCGCCACCCCGGCTCGCTGCCACGCAGCACGATCATCTGCCCGTCTTGGCGCAACTATAAGTCCAAGGGTTGGCCAATTTGCCTTTGCGGGCTCCGAGGCGCACAACTTCATAGAAACTTGAAAGAGGGCGAATTACATTTGAAAATGGAAGGGGTTCCTGGCTGTGAGTCAGACTCGATTCAATCCTCACAATGGAGGCAAAAAGAATAAAGACTCGGATACCGGGAGTCGAACCCGGGGCTGTTGAGAGAACAGACACTTCTGAGAAGTGAGAGTCAACGATGTTACCGCTACACCATACCCGATTTTCGAATCGTGCGTGGTCCCGATTGGATTGTTGGAAAGTCAGAATGGAGCGTTGGTAGATCAAGTGTGCTTTGCCTTGGGTGGGTCAGTCAGTCTCCATGTGATGAGTTCCTGGGAGAGGTTTTGTCTTCATGACTCGTGGCGAGGAGAGGGTGGTTGGCAACTGCATTCTGAGAGCAAATGGCTCTAGTTTTGGCCTCCTATGCAAGCAAGGGCGTTGAGCGATAATAGTAATATGTCCGGCACAAATGCGCAAGCTGCTCTTGTGTCATATTTTTGTCCAGTCAATGACTCGATGCATTGATGGGAAACTCCGGTTGCCAAAACCCATAATTCCTGAATCCTGCAAGAAGCCAATCCCAGTGACTGTGAAGATATGACATGTATGCCTCCAAGCCCCCTTATTGTGGTTGGTTGTTGGGCATTGGTGGCACCAATGATGTCCCCAGGTGATACCGAAGTGCGTCGAATACCCAGATAGCCGACTGCCAGCCGGGGAAGTCGATAGAACATGTCCGACGTGTCGTCCTCCAAACCCTCCAATCACTGCTCTTTACAGGATACATCTAGATACATCTGCAGAGCGCGTCGAGTGGCTGGCATCTCAGTCTCAGCTTGTACTGGTGAGGGGCTCACTCAGTTAAATTCTAAGCCGTCTCCCCATTCTTCAGGTTTCTCTTTACTCACCACTCCTACTTCACACAACCCTGACCGTCCCACCAATCCTAGCCCTTACTCACTTCAGGCCGTGTCCTCTATTGCACGGCCTACTTATATTATCCCCTACTTAGCGAACCCCTTTTTCGTCGGACGGGTGCCCTTCGAGCAGCAGGCGACCGCGATGCCCGGAAGCAGTAATGAGCAGCAGTGCCCGGGACTGCTTCCGGGTGTTGCAACATGGCGCCTCCTGCTCAACTTCGAGTCAATGGCCTTCCTTCCTCTTGGACAATTCGTAAGCTCGCCTCTGATTGAATGATGAAGTTTTGGTGACTGACACGGCGGCTTATTTCAGAGTTTGAATCTCTTCGGCTTCTCAATTGTTCAGAGTCTGTTGTGGGCTGGACAAATCCTTTTTTTTATATTGGGATCCCATCTCTGCTGTTGTTGTCCGCAACGGAGGTTGCCAGTCACAACATTTTTATGGCGGCAGCTAGATGCCTTGTGTACGAGAATGTCAGATGCGAGATCCCGATGCAAAGATGGGGAGAGGTCCAGTCCACAACACATTTGGGACCTTGGCCGTAGTGGTAGACTATGGAAGGAAGATGGTGCTTGGGATGAGCTGCATGGATATCTTCTGGACAAGGTGTGTTTCCGTTCACCATCCCCTACTTTCCCTGGCCCTTCACAGTCCACTGATGCCTTGTGATCAAGAGATTGGTGACCTGGAATAACGTCACAAAAAGGTACCGACCACCAATTGAATCCGTAGGCTAGTAAGACTACGGATAGCAAAACATCGCCAAAAGCAGTTTCGAAAACAAGCATTGCAATTTACACAACATCAACAACCACCAAGTTTCGGAGCCCATATCGGCAACCCAAGATGGATAGAGCCCCAGGAGACGAGTTCACTTTTGACTGGCTCAACTCAATGGATGGGATTAACTTCGAGCTGGACCCAACATGGAACGGTGTCGATGACCTCCTTGCTGCCAACCCGAAGGACTTTGCAGGAGGGACTCTAGACAGCTTTCCACCACCCCCTGAAGCGGGCCTATTCTGCCCTACCACCTACGGGGAGACGGCACTCTTTTCCAACACCAGCTCGTTTCTTGACTGGAACTCGGGATTGAGTTACGGCCTAGGTCTTGGGGGAGAGTTATTCAACGAGTCCATCAGCCAGACAGCTGTGGCGACCAGCAATTCGACAATGCAGTCGGTCACCAACTACCACTTTACACCGTCGCCCACAGACTCGGGGGATATCTACTTCCCAACCACTCCTGCAATGAATCTCAGGGCACCACAAGCTCAGCCTGGAGCCTGGGAGTTCCCCACGGGGTCGACACAAGAGGCCAGCATCACGGTAGTTCCACCATTGACGGCAATAAGAGACCAACCACAAACGAACTCTCACCAGAGAACACCTCGCAGGCAACAAACCAGTTGTCCCGTTCTGAGCGCGTAGGTTCCCCTTGAAACAATCACCAATCCAGCCATCTCGGAAAGATTGATTAACACTGTTTGAACATACAAAGGCGAGAGCAACGCAAGATCGAGAGACCCGAAAAGTGCCCGGTCTGCAACAAGGGATTCCAGTACTCAGCTGACATGAAAAAGCACCTTAAATCGAAGCACCCCGACTTCGCTGAAGGACAGGGCATCTCGACCGCTAGGTCCCGTTGTCAGTGGTGTCCCTCAAAGACGTTTGCAAGACCGGACCACCTCCTCAGACATCGGCAGAGGAAACATGGGCTCGAGAAGAAGACTAGAACTAGACGGACAAAATGAGTATGGACATATATACCTGGGGGTGGGGATACACTGTTTCTTTTCTGCTATGTTTTTGTCTTCCCCTGTTTAGCACCTATGACTATTTCTGGTTTGTTTGTCTGGAACGGAATGGGCTTCCATGAGGTACCACTCACGAGAGGGGATTTATACGAGGTAGTAACGCAATGCTCACGATATTCAAACGATATATATTACTTCAAATTTCGATCTATCGTACAGATCCAAACAACAAGGGCCGCTGGTCTAGTGGTATGATTCTCGCTTAGGGTTTTTGAAACCTGAGCAATTCTTGCGAGAGGTCCCGGGTTCAATCCCCGGGTGGCCCCTATCCTTCTGATGGATCCTGACATGACTCTTTTCTTTTTGAAATCATGAAAGAGACTTACGGAAATTAGCTGCACCAGATTTTATAGTGTCTGTGCTAGGTTTCGGATCGAATTTCTTATCTGACGAGCCTCCGACGATGCCAGCGCACTGTCAGCTCGATTTGAAGCTTTTGGGCTCTTCAGATACGAACACTTATCGCCCCGTTCATGTTGTGAATCGAAAGTATGCTGGATTGAGTCTGTGTCCCTTAGGTAGATGCGCCAAAGCGCCTGGTGTCTCTATTATGGCCGTGTTCCAGGGTTTCCTAATAAGAAAGTCCAGGAACTCTCGCCGCGTCTCAGTAACGTGACCCTCCTCTGCCTGGGTATCCGCCCCGACGGCCCATGGCGAAAGAAGAAACCCAATCCATGTCCCTACGCCCACGGCTCCGCGGCAAAGTCGGGGTTGCGGTAGATATGTTTTTGACCGCATCCTCTGTAGCGTCATGAAACTGCGCGTTGTTGACCGAGGGTACTTTGGTTCTAGTTGACGAAATGCCCTGATGTTTTGATGCTTGAGCCGAGGGAATGGCTGGGACCGCAAGAGTCGTAGAAGCTGCGTACACAGGCGGAGGCCGGCGGACATCGTCCTGAGCCACTGGGGACACTGGATTCACCTCGTGAGTTTGTATAGCAGCGGTCAGTGGCTTTATTCCTTCCCCAATATCTGATTCGAGATGGGAGACAAGATTGGTGTTTAGTATCTTGTCTTCTTTCTGGGGGGGATCCGTCGGTGATGGAGTTGCCGCTGACGAGGGGGTGGCGGGATTGCGTACGTCAGAGTCGTTGGGGCTATGAAGAAGTTGGTCTGCATAGACGGAGGAGTCGCTGCTCCAACCCTCTGGATATAAGATTGGATTTGCTTGGTTTGCTGGCTTTGGGTCAGGCTGATCTGAAAGGCGAGGTATTTGGTTATGCGTTGTCGTTTGCGTCTGGACTTGAGCTTGGGCGAGAGTCCTTCTGTATACTCTGCTATTGACAGCAACATCATCGAAGTCAAACTCCAAGTCTGACGGTGCGGTCATGGAAACCGCGTCCACCGGGAAGCCAGCAACTGAGCGCTCTTGGCCGCCATAAACAGAATTTGGAACTTTGATAGATGGATTTTGGGAGCGCAGTGACTGGGTTATTTGAGCAGACGTCTGCACGGTGCTTCTTTGCTGCTGCAACATATGTTTGATTTCACCCAGTGTGTTCCTGTCAATAGTCTGTCAGCATAGGCATTTGAGGCGTTCCCCTTAGGGAGGAAGAGCCCAGGCTTGACATACAACTGGAGTAGCTGTATGAACAAATTAATAGCAGCTTGCTGCCCGCGTAGGGCACCCAGCAGCTCAGTTAGCTTTGTCTCGTTCCAAACAAGGCGAACTCGTGCTCTCCATAGAATCCGCTTGGGCTCGGACCCCCTAGAGACCATACGTTGGAGTTCGAGATCCAGGCAGCTAAATACCACCATGCATCCCGTCACGGCCTGGTCCAGGACGGCTGGAAACTCGGGTGGCACGTCAGTCATACTCTTCTTCTGGAGAAGCAACATCTGCATCTGGGTGAGGGAAGCCAAGATGACGTTTGACTCGGAGCATATCGAGACGACGACCACTGGCGCATCGTTGTACTTTTCCCGGAGGTCATACAGCTTTTTCGCCGTGGATAGACATGATGAGGTGGTGGAGACCTACGACCGTGTGGAATTCATCATCAGCGGTGAAAGAGAAGAGATCTAGAAGAAATGGAGCATCTTACCACAACGGATATTATACTTATCGGGTCCATGACTGCATGTATGTGGCAGAGTATCCACGGTGTTCCAACGTCAGGAATCGTACCTGAACGTGTCTGCGGGGTTCGATGAACCAGATGGTGTTCTGCATCGGACCGGGCACACTTTGGACCGACTGTGGCGTTTGAAATTTGAACTCTCGGGAGAGTGCCTTATGCCTGGTGAGGGGTAGGAAAGAAAGTCGTCTGGAGGCGTCTCGGAGGCCACCATGGGCTGAATCGATACTCCAGCCAATGGAACTCTCGTCTGGTGTGCGAACTACAACTGAACACGTCGAAATGCAAGGCAGACTTGCTCAAATTAGAGCAGGTCTGGACCAAATAGTTCGAAGATATCTAGGTAATTTCGAATAAGTCATTCGCAAAGCTGCTGGCAGGCAGCCGTTAAGGATGCAAGGCTGGTGGTTGAGGATGAAACAATACCTAGGTTCTTTCCCCCCACGGTCAGCAGAAATGCAGTATCTCGGAATATTTTGCTGGGTCGGTTGGTCTCGCGCCGCGGTGTAGCTCAGTTGCACTCTCGCTCAGTATCTGGGTGCCTATTTCGTGAGTAAGGTGTGTCTTGAAACTAAAGTGGCGCAAGCCGCTTACCAGACACGGATTTAGCTGCCTAAGACCGCAAAATGTTGCTTTATATGTGGATAATAATTAACAGCCAGGGGTTTACCGGTTTATTCGGGGATTGTACGGGGTTAGACCGGTATTTCGCTGGATGTGCATACCGTACCGCTCAGGTGTTGACCGCTATTTTAGCACGTGGAAGTGGCTGCTGCTTGAGATTATTGAGGCATGCCATTAGGTAGTCTGCGGATCAAAGATGAGATCAGCATGGATGATGTGCACAACTCACCATGAGCTGGAAGGAGAAGCATTTCCCAGATAGGATCATATGAAACATGAAGATTTCCATAGGTACTTTTGGGTACCTAGTTATAATGGCCAGCATATTTTGTCATATCGATGCTAGCAGCTGTATACCTAGGGAGGTACACGGAGACTCTCACACTGCTAGCCCGTAGCCGTAGAAACGTAACCACAAGAAGACGATGGTATAATTGTCAAAGGTCATGTTACAACTTATTTCAAGCCTTCAAATTGACTCAGGTAGTATCTTGCGGTCTCTCTGCAATTCCACCTGTCACCCACAAGCATTAGTCGTGTCGTAAGCTAGCCAATCAGACACTGTTATGGAATCAAGCAGCCGCCCTGCCCAGGGTCGTCAAGACAAGCTTCTGTTTACCGTCTTTTGACCGTAAGACGATCGAAATCACCAGTAAGAGCTTATTATAGCGTGTGGAGACCCTCTATCCGCCATGTCCGTGGCCGACATCCATGCGAGGAATTTTGGTTATGCCCACCTGCATAAACTTGAAGTAGGTACCAACTCATGTAGGTAATAAGCTCGCAGAAAGTTGCCCATCAGTAAGACATGGATCATGTGGTCCGAGCATGTACTATGTAGTATGTACTCTCGGTTTAAACGGGCACTGCGTTGCACAAACTTGATACTCCCTAGTACCGCTGTTCTCACCTGCATGCCATCAAATCACATCAATTAGCGTACAATATTAAGTATAACTTGATTACATACAGAATCTATGTCAGCCTTCTGCCATGGCTACCTACCTAATTAAAAGCTCTGTGTTAGTAGGAATCGCCGGTGTGTTCTTTTTTGACTTACAAACTAGACTTGATAGAGTCTGATGCACGTTCCAATAGCGTTGTTTCCGCCGTGGCTTACGCTACAAAACAATGTGGAACTTTTAAATAATCACCTGCAGTGAAGTTGGAAGCGAGTTGAGCTCGAGAAGACAAGACAGTTGTGGAGAAGAACTTCTGTATCCATGCTGTCTCCTATCTACCTATCTAGGCACCAGAATTTACGCCATTCCACGGTAGATAGGAGTCATTGAGTCCCTTACAAAACCCTGTAAAATCCTCGTCTGTAACATCTTTTATGAACGGCTGCTAGGCCTGAGACGGGTTTTACTGGAAGTTCTCGATGGCTACTATTTACCGTGGAATGTGGTGTAAGAATCTGCGGAATAAAATCACCACTTCACAACATGCGTCTGATACTCCCACCCACCCGTCTCCGAATCCCTGATGTAGAACCGACCCGTAAACTCCGACCTTCTGTCTGTTAGCTCGCCCTCCCTCCTTCTGAGCCGGCGAAACTGCTCCAACAGCGTGCCGTCACTCTCGTTCTGGTCTTCTAGCACCATATTCACCTCCCCAATTGTCGTCGCAGCCTTCGTCGTCCAGAACGCGTCCCGCCGCGGGTATTTCTGCAGCACATCCACCGCCTTGGCGCGCACGCCCCGGTCGCGGCATTTGATGGCCGCTAGCAGCAGCGCGAGCGTCGGCCCGCCGTTGTCGAGCGTGAATATTTCGGTACAGGTCTCGTCGGCGCGCGGCTGGTTCTGGATGAGCAGCTCGCCGAGGCGGACGATCTCGCGGAACCGCGGCGTCGTGAGTGTGTACATGGTCCTGTAGTCGCTGAAGCAGGCCGTCCGCAGGCTGACCCACGAGAGGTGGTATTGCAGCAAGAGAGAGGCTGCCTGAAAGTAAGGTGCCGGGTTTGAAGGGCGGTCGTCCGCCGCCGTCTTGTAAAGCGGGAGGAAGGCGGCGTGCCAGGCTTCGAGCATGAGGATGTTTTGGTCCTGCAGGTCTTTGAGGCCGGGGATGTCGCAGAAGTCGATGGTGTCGAGCAAATCTGGGTCTATTTCGTCGATACTGCTACAGGTCGTGGAGGAGGAGGAGAAGGCTGGCATGTAGGACATGAGTTTCTCGACTGTCACGCGGGGGAAGTGCAGGGACCAGTGCAGAACCAGATCCCACCACCGTCTGGCCTCGGCGAGATCGATGAAGGTCGAGGGGATTTCGGCATGGGAATGGGTTCCCGGGGCGCGGAGGTGAATTTGGGGCGCACGTCGCCAGCGGTCGAGGATGCCTGTGGTCCAGGACTGGTAGTCGAGGCGCTGGAAGACTTGGAGGATCTCATCTTCCACGATTAGAGGTGCCGGAGAGTGGTTAGAGTACTCGACGTACCCTCCTGGAAGCGTTTCTGCCGTCTGTTGCTGCCGGCTGACGAAATGCTCCACGAGCTTGAGACCGTGGTTGATGTGGCTCAGGGCTGCCTCGCGGCTGCCGTGCAAGATCTCAAAGCTGGTGAAAAGAATGCA